TCTAATTTTACATCATTTTCAGCAGTTCTACAATCCCCCAAACAAGTACCAGTTCGTACATCCACGACCAAAACGACCGGCATCGTTGCGTATCTACGAGGCTCATGTAGGAATCAGTAGTCCTGAAGGAAAGGTGAACACCTATCGAGCGTTCGCCGACGATGTCATTCCAAGAATCGTCAGACAAGGTGCGACATACTAGCCTTATGAGACTGAAAAGCTAGAATTAGCCTCGAGCGGTAAGAGCGGTGAAAGAAGCATTGCAGCGGGGTCACCTGCGCACTCTGTGGCAAATCTTTGTAGGATGCGCGCCCTTTGAAAGTTTCTAATTTGGCAAGCCTCCCCTCCCACCATACCTACCATTCAACTTTTCCCGAAATTTTGCTGTCGAGTGTTGCGTGGAGAGGGAGGGAATGGAGATTTCCGCTCAACTGCTCAGAAGTGGTAGATCTGCGCTGCGACCATCTAGGGTAATATATTGCATGCGTGAGACGGAAGAAATAAACAATTAGAAAATTCTGTCACAACAAAAATGACCCCCTTCATCTGAGCGACCAAATGGTCCCGCCCAGTGTTCCACAAAACGCGTGGTAAGCCCTTCCTGTCCAGGATTTGCAGCAGGACGTATTCCATTCATCCTGGCACAGCTGTGAAACGTCAGGGCAACTAAGCTATGGAGATCTCTTGCTATTTTTGCAAGCTATGTCTTGCCCTCGAATGTCCTGAACTGCTATGTACTTCGCGCTGTGCCATGACTCGAGACTATAAACCTCTTCGAATAGGTTCACTATACGTTCTCCCGTAGTACAGAGGGACGAGGGTTTCTCCAAAGCATTCATGGTGAGAAGTACTTCAGGGACCTTCGGAATTTTCCTTCTCCTCAAGATTTTGCTAGAATTTCCTAGAGTTTCGCACAAAATTCAATATTTTGTAAATAAAAAGAATCTGTTGCATCTTTGAGAATTTCACATCGCTTAGAACATTATCAATACACAATGTCTAGGCTTATTTTTCGTTTTTAGGTTATAACACTATTCAGCTGATGGCTGTGATGGAGCACGTTTACTATGCATCTTTTGGTTACCAAGTCACCAGCTTCTTCGCACCAGCAAGGTTGGAAAAAATTTCCATCGTTATGAGTGAGGACTATTGTCGGCCCTGCTGCTTCCTTCTGTGAGGCTCTGCGGAGGAGAGCTGTGACCGTTAAATAATAAGAGTAAGGTGAAAAAGAAGAGCGTTGGTCATCGTGTCTTTCCACCGTGACTCGTTCTCCAGCTTTTGCCCTTCACTGTTTGGAGATGCTTTTGATTATTCGGAGGGAATGGTTACTGCTTAAGCTATCCTGCAGGTTTTACGTCGCAGTACACTATTACCTTGAAAAAGTGGAAAGACATTTAGGAGCGCAGAGCTACCGGCGCTTGCAAGTAGAAATCCATCGCCATTCGAAATGGCGCAGAAAAGGGCGCTAGGAGAGTCCAGATCCAGCTTTTCTAGTCTCTCGTTGAACGCTCTAGTTGGGATATGTTCATCGAGTGCTGAATCCGAAACCCTTCGTACTGAAGGCACGTCCTGGTTTCTGCTACATTTTCGAGTCAGTTAGCACCTACTTAGTAATTTCATAATTGACTCCACTACACACGACGTGGTCCGAGGGTGTAGTGGCAGGTGGCCCGTTGACCATCACCCGGCTCAGAGGTGAGAACCCGCACCAGCCTCCCCTCTTCCCTAGAGCCAGCGTAGCCTTCTATTCTTGGGGAACGGTTTGGTATCAGATTCGAGGTAATGGACGACGCCAGCGAGTTCATCTGCTAGCCTCGCAAGCATTGTATAGGCCACGACAGTCGCAATTCAGTGAGCCACAACGATTCTGAATGGATGAATGCGTGCAGCACCGCCAAAGGATTTGATGATCCTACCCATGGATGCCGAGAACTCAAAACGCTTCGTAGCTGATATTGTTTGTTAACTGCTGTTTAACGCCGCAGTACGCGATTCGAAAGCTATCACAAGAATGCTGAGTTATGGGCAAAAGTCGGACCACGGGCGGGATTCGAACCCGCATCTTCCGCTTTCCGTGCGAATGCGTTCCCTATTACGCTACCGAGGCCACTTTGACCACTCAGCTCAATGGCTATTTGTGCCATAGCCTTACAGCACTCACACGTTCAACGTGATGAGCCGGTTAGGCACAAATAGCCATTGAGCTGAGTGGTCAAAGGTGGCCTCGGTAGCGTAATAGGGAACGCATTCGCACGGAAAGCGGAAGATGCGGGTTCGAATCCCGCCGTGGTCCGACTTTTGCCCATAACTCAGCATTCTTGTGATAGCTTTCGAATCGCGTACTGCGGCGTTAAACAGCAGTTAACAAACAATAACAGCTTGAAACTTGTAAAAAGCCTTCAGCCTTGCGGTTCACTGCCGATATCGGCTAACCGGCTCATCACGTTGAACGTGTGAGTGCTGTAAGGCTATGGCACAAATAGCCATTGAGCTGAGTGGTCAAAGGTGGCCTCGGTAGCGTAATAGGGAACGCATTCGCACGGAAAGCGGAAGATGCGGGTTCGAATCCCGCCCGTGGTCCGACTTTTGCCCATAACTCAGCATTCTTGTGATAGCTTCGCTTACTTAAATGTATTATTTACTGCTTGTTCGGCTGCACCCGAGCCTGACAACAACGTTCATTAGCTAGCTGATGTTTCGATGAGTTTACATTCCAAGAGCCTTATGAGGAATGCATTCTGTTCAAAAACCATCTTACTGTACTAGACGTGGCTGTTCTGGTAAATATGGGGCACCCGAAGAAGGTGATTCCACCGGAACGTCAGTCAGCCCATATATGCTGCTGTTAACCTCGTGTGCTGTTACACTGTTGCGGAAAGTGGCGGCAGGTAGATTTGATGCACTATCGCGCCCGGGATGAATTTCAAGTCGACTCTCACCCAGAGTTACCAACCCTTTTTGTCCTTTCGGGGCCAATTTATTGATACCGTACTCCTCCAAGAGAATGAAAGGAACAAGGCATTCATTAACACGTCTCCGCAAACCATTGTGTAGGGAAAATGGCATTCAGAAGCCGCCACGATTTTGCATCATGGTGGTTTCCTAGAGAGAGAACGGGGAACAGGGTTCCAGAAATGCGAACAAAATTACGTCAGTTTTTTCTCTTTACACAATCAACTTGCTTATGCGGAGACAAAGAGACGAAAAAAATAGATGAATGAGCATTTCGGCGTTCATCTCTTCATATCTTATAGATTTTCTTTTACAGTCGCTGTGGACCTCCAGACGACGTTAAATATCTGGTCGATATGGCGCATGCAAACGGTCTCACTATCCTTCTCGATGTGGTACGTCCTATTTCTGCGAGGAGCCTATTAACACTGTAGCTGTTTTTCTTGGCTCATAGTGGCATAACGTCGTCACATCTGTGCCTACCCTCTATATCGGCATTTGTGCTGCTCTCCTTTCTTCTTTCGTTTGCTTCCACTCCGTTCTGACAAACTTTCACTACCGTCGAGTCACCTGAAAATTATAGGTCCACTCTCATGCGTCCAAGAACGTTGCTGACGGACTGAATCTATGGGATGGTACTGACAGCTGCTATTTCCACAGCGGTGCACGAGGAACTCACACACTTTGGGATTCGAGACTGTTCGATTATACTCAGTACGTCGATATGAATTTGGACATGTTCACAGTATGCTCCCTCAGGACTCTCTCATTATTGAGGGTTATGTATCGATCAGTGGGCTGAATTGAACGCTGGGTTCATGGCCTCTCGTGAAGCGCAGAACGAAGTCGACCAAATCAGAGCGTATTGGCTGAGGCGGGCGGTTACTGCCAACTTCATTGGTGGAAGATTGAGTGGGGTGGGGCTAAACATCCTCTCGCAACCCTTCCACCAATGACGTTGGCAGTAACTTTCTGCCACCTGCCATAGTGCCAACTGGCTTTGAGGCTTTAGAATGAAATTATCACATACCTTCACTTTGCGCATTAGTGGCTTTCTTAATAATTCAGTCATTTTTAGAATCGAGACTCTGCGTTTCCTGATGTCAAACCTCCGTTGGTGGGTTGAAGAGTATGGCTTCGATGGATTCCGTTTCGACGGTGTCACTTCGATGATCTACCACTCACATGGAATGAGTGAGTTCAGAGCTACCTTCTGTGTAAACTCCGAGGAGTCTAATTCAGACAAAGAAAAATGCGTCATTCTCTAGTTTTCTTGTTGGCTAGAACTTTGTCCCGCCGAATTAGCAGCGGTTTTCAGGCGTCGGAAACAACGCGAAATAGCAGGTGCTTCTGTTGAGATTACTCAACGCAGTGCATTCGCACTGTAATAGTAAGATCCAAGAAGCCCGCCATGACTAATTCGACAAGGCGCTCTTCCCTCCGTCCTCGCGACCGCACGTCCTGAATGCTGCGGTACTGCCCTCTAAAGTTCCATGTAGTTAAGCAAGTGAAAAAAAAAGAATATGAGACGTGAGATTCAGATGAAAAGAGTCATTTTATAGGTGACGACTTTGCCGGTGGATATCCAATGTATTTCGGTCTGAATGCAGACACGGACTCTCTAGTCTACCTTGCACTTGCCAATGACTTCCTCCACAAGAAATACCCAGAAATCGTTACTGTTGCTGAGGTTGGTGATATTCGGGCTTTTTGATAATACAATTCGCTTTCAAAAGTACTTTTTGAGTTATCACAAGAATGCTGAGTTGTGGGCAAAAGTCGGACCACGGGCGGGACTCGAACCCGCATCTTCTGCTTACCGGGCACGCAACTGCCCGGTAAGCAGAAGATGCGGGTTCGAGTCCCGCCCGTGGTCCGACTTTTGCCCACAACTCAGCATTCTTGTGATAACTTTCGTATCGCGCACTGCGGCGTTAAACAGCAGTTATCAAACAATAACAGCTTTGAAATTTTAGGAAGTCTCCGGAATGCCAGCCCTCTGCCGTCCCGTAGCCGAGGGTGGGCAAGGTTTTGACTACCGGTTGGCGATGGCTTTGCCTGACATGTGGATCAAAATCCTCAAGCACATGAAAGATGAAGACTGGGAGATCGGGGCTATCGTGCATACCCTTGAAAATCGACGGTATGTTGTCTAGATCGCAGACCTATTTATAACCTAAAAATATCTGCCAGCTGAGCTGTGGTCTGCCTCCGATTATCGGGTTAGAGGCCAAACAACATGTCGTCATATTATAGCCCAGACAACTGCGGATAAACCTTCAACACCCACGGACCATAAGTCGGGAAGTATCCACGTATAACTTTTGTGAGAGTAACAGTTCCCGGTTCAGACGGAGGGAGAAGATGTTGCACACTCTGTCCACGTGCCTGAGCCGGCAACTGTCTACCCTTCACCGCTTCCACAATGAAGCTCGTGGACACTACCCTTCGCGCTGAGATATGGGTTATGCTTTGACGGTGTGAGGCTGTGCGATCGGGCCTTGATCTGGGATCGGGAACCAAGTGAGTGTTTTACGGGCCGAACGGGTCGAGCAGCAATATGGCTCGGAAGTGTGCTAGTCACCTCATGTGTTTATTTATTTATTTGTTTATTTATGTGTTTTGGTTATTCCATACCAACAGAAATGTGATAGCAGGGGAGCATGAAACTGTAACCTATCAAAACTGAGAAGTTATGAAATTAATAAACAAGCTGCTCATGGAGCAGGAATCAGAAGTCTTTCTTGTGCTAGGGAACAAATGCAACAATAGGTTTGATCTCCCTTATTCAGATACGGAGAGAAGAACATCGCCTACGCTGAATCTCACGATCAAGCACTTGTTGGTGACAAGACGATCGCATTTTGGCTCATGGACAAGGGTGTGTGTCATTTAGCCACCTTTAGGAGAATTCATTAGAAGAATTTACTAATAATCATTTTAAGCATGGAAACACTTTCAGAAATGTATGACTTTATGTCCATGGTGACGCCTTACACTCCGATCATCGAACGTGGAATAGCCTTGCATAAGATGATTCGTCTTCTCACAATGGCTTTAGGAGGAGAGGCCTGGCTGAATTTCATCGGTAATTTGTCCAAATAATTGGATTATTTTTTATAATTGAAGCGCTCGTCAGAATTCCGCCCCAGAGCAATGACTATCCTCGCATTCACCATTTGGCTGAAATTGTTGATTGATATGCTTTTACAATTGTTCTTAGAATGTTTGAAGACCCAAAAACCTGTTCCGCACGGAGTAATGTACTAGGCCGATATTCTGGGCATTTTCATTGGATTTCAATCGTTGCATCTCCAGTATCCACTTCTGGGATTCCATTAATTGGCAATAAAAAAACAATTTGTGAACCACAGTCGCTTGATGAACTGCTAGGATGAACTGCTCTTCTTCCAGTATCAAAGCGAGTCTTTGGGAACCGCACAGGACGGTTCGACCCTGAAAATCGCCGCACTGCTTAGGTTGACGAAAATATTACGAGCCTTTTCGAGCCTTTGGCTGCTTGACCTCCTTGTGACAGTGGTAGAAAGGTGGAGGGGGAGGGGGCTCGTTCGTTCCGATAGCGGAACATCTCGTGATTATTCATGTTTTGGGTCCTTCATGCAGCTTCCCACTCGGCGCAAGGTAAATTTTGATGTTGAGACTTATAAGGAAAGGTCATTTCTTGACCTCCGCTCTTTCACCTGCCCACCGGCGAAGTTTGGTTATTCTTAAGCACTTTCCTTTCCCCCAATGGCTTTTCTAGCATTGACTGCTGCCCAGGATGGTGGGTTTGGCTAACCTGGAATAAGAATTCCTACGATTCTTGTGCATGCAAAGCTTCCTTCTTTACATTCAGATATTCAGAAACTTGTACCGGGGTGTAGGAACTAGCTCGGAGAACCTTGAAAAAGACTATTTGTTCAAACCCCCTCCCTATTGTCTAAAGTTCTGTAGGCTTGCTGCATAACTTATGTCACTAAAGTCATCTATATTACTACTTTTTAGTTTGCTTTTTTGAAATTCCGATTTGGAAACTGAGAATGATTTTAGGAAAATTCCGTTTTCCGAAACTATAGGCATGATTTTCAGGGAACGAGTTCGGTCATCCAGAGTGGTTGGATTTCCCACGTCTTGGAAACAACGAGTCGTTCCATTACGCTAGGAGACAGTTCAATTTAGCCGACGATGAGCTTCTAAGGTTCTTTTTGCCAGATTTTTCTTCATTATTTTGATCTGAGTTTTCATCCATGTGTAGTACTAGATATTTGGAGTAGCAGCCCAGTGTTACAGATATAAATGGTTGAATAAATGGGATCAAGAGATGAATGCACTCGAGGAGGCCACAGGATTTCTTCACGAGATGCCTGTAGGTGTTTTCCTTTGGGCTGTCCAGTGAATTTTACTTTTTTAAATTTGATAAATTGTCTCGTAATTTGAATTTAATCAAACATTCAGGCATACGTATCGTGCAAGCACCACGAGGACAAAATGATCTGCTTTGAACGTGCCGGTGTGCTGTTCGTGTTCAATTTCCATACATCAAAAAGTTTCACCGACTACAAAGTTGGCGTTGAAGTGCCTGGGATGTGAGTCTTGTCATTAAGTAATCAAGTTTTTCTTCCGTAGAGTCTTGTGAGTTTTGATCACCGTTTATGGCGGGGGGGGGGGAGGGCGCAGAGTTCTCCTCGTAAGTCCTTTTGTACGACATGGCGATATTTTCTAGGGAGTTGCTGAATGAAGCAATGCTGCGATGTTGAAAATGATTTCAAGAGAAGCGAATTAGGTCCCTTACTACAGTTCAGAGAATGGGGACCCGTACTCATCAGCCTGTCACCCTACTTCAGAGCACTGTTGTTCAACAAATTTCAGAGCTGGTAGTCATACTTGACGCAAGTACCCACCAGGGCATATCATCCAACGTGGGAAATTCCACTGTCGAAACAAATACGGGCAGCTGTATAAAACCCACTTTACCTTACCCACCATTCTCTTTCGAAACTTCCCGTTAAGAGAAGACTGAACACTATGCTCAAGAGGGGAAAAAGAAAAAAAAACTCCGACTGGAGACTCTAAACACCCATTTCCACCACCACACAGCCGATCTTTCAGAACAACCAGCAACCTTAATACGGCTCCTTACCTGCGACTTCGATTTCAAACGATGATGCACCCACCACCCAAGCACCTAAGCGCCCAAGCAATGTTCAAGGATCAAAGTTCTGATTGATTCCTCTCAGTATAGCTTAGCCTTCCATCTCCCTTGGTCGTCGAACTGGTACCAGGTTCGAGGGGGGGGGGGGTGAGAGCTAGGAGGTGGCTTAGCTTCCGTTTCGCAAGTCCGCTTGGACGGAAGCCGTGCAAAATTGTAGTCCTCCTTCTGTGCTTATCATGGGAAGGGAGGAACATCGACTCCGATAATGAAAAGGGGGTTGTGGAGATCGAAGTAGCGTACTATAGTGCTAGTCTGATATTGCGATTCCCTGACCTCTAGAAAATGGAAGGCACAGCTTGCTTTGAGGCAGTGGACACGATGGCCGGGGGCGGGTGGTTACTGCCAACATCATTGGTGGAAGGTCTGCGAAACGGGAGGGCGTTCGCTCACGCCCCATTTAGCGCTTCCACCAATGACGTTGGCAGCAACGGCCCGCCCCCAGCCTCGTACCCACTGCCAGTGAAATTTGGCCCGGAAATTTTGCATATGTAGAAAAAAATGCTTATCAACATCAAACGCTTCATCTACTTTTATTTGCCTGCCTTCATTCCAGCTACAAAATGGTTCTAAACAGCGACGAAGAACGATTCGGCGGTCACAATCGTCTGCAGTCCGGTTCCGAGCATCACACCTTCCCTGAAGGTTGGAATGGTCGCCGAAATCATCTATGCGTCTATGCTCCATCACGAACATGCCTTGTTCTGAGACTCAAATAACTATGTAATCAACCTCATTGTCCGAGTTCTTCGGAAGAAGTTGTTATACTTGTTTTTGTTGTATCTGACATCATTTAAGACCGACCTCTTTTGCGAAATTTATTCATAATGAAACTGGTGCTCAACATCAGCCCTTGAATCGCCATAGTGGACGAACGCGAGTTAATGTGTACTACGTCTGACATTTTTATTTGATCCTTTTATTTAATAAAATTCGGTCAGTTTATGAGTAAATATGATAAATTTCACCTAGATATGTGTTCCACAACATGGTGATCGTCAAAAAATTCGAGAAAGTGAAAATTATAGGGGTTAATGGGGGCGGAATGAGCAATGAAGATAGCCTGTTAGGCCCGCTAGCTTAGCTCCCGTCTCGTACTGATCAAAAAGATTTACGTGGTTTCCATCTGCCTACCTCTGCTTGTGTAAGTGCTTATCCGCTCCCAAATATACCTGAATAACACGGATCCAGTGATGACGGGTGAGGGCAAGGAGATTCGAGCTAGTGTGACTCGCAGAAAATACACTCCATACCACGGAGCTGGAGTGGGCGTGGAGGCGCACTTTGTTTCAACATCGAGGTATTCTGCTCTTCGGGGAAAGTGATCCCGTTATGAGGCATCGCAAAGATGCTTTTATCCACGACGACACAGGGTGACTGTTGTCTCGAATGGGAATATTCCACGGGAATCACTTTATGGGCTAAGTTTAGACACAATACGCAGCCACGCCTTCCTCACCTCCGGGATGTGGAGTGTCACCGCGAACGTGGCGGAGTGATGCTCCAGCTTCACTGCTGCCGGTAGTGCATTCACCATTTGCGCGATTGGTACCTGCGGCCCACGCGGCCACAAATCTGGGCATCCTGACCAATATCCTGCGGCGTAAGCAGAAAAAGAAGCTGTACACCCTCAGAAAATGAAGTGGGTTGAAAAAAAGTGCTCGTAAAGCTCTTGTCAAGTGGCGGGATAGGCTTTGTTTAACGAACCGAGCATGTTCTTGAAGCTGCTCACCGAATTTTGAACGGAAAGGAGATGAAACAAGGTGAGAAAGTGGTCACATCAAACCACGGGGATGTGTCGCTGTAACGGCCAGCGAACACGGACCACGAAGCTTCAGTCTCGTTCGTCGTCAGGGCCACGATGTACCGCGTCAGGAGGACTGAGTTTGGCGCTGCACAGTCCGTTTTCCACCGGTAGTGGAAGCTGGCTGGGGAGCAGATTCAGTGGATGGCGCCGCGCTTAGTCGAGCTCTCCAGACCCGCCAGCGTCTGCAGCGAACGAGACTGTATATTGATTGCAATTGTTAGTATTAAGTACATGATATGGCACATTTGTTCGAGTACAAGCACATAATGCTGACGTAAGGGTTAAGTGACCTAAGCAGGACTCGAGCCTGCTTCTCATGCTTACTGAGCGAATCCAGAGTGGCGTTCAGATCGAAATAGACGCATATACTAAAGTACCACCGTCATAGGCAGGCTTGACTGTTCTAATATTACAGGTTCAGTTATGGAATGCGATTTATGCCAACGAAAAAAATAAAAGGAGAAAACGTTCCCCAAGCGGTCGACTCGTTTGTATTGCTCTAACTGCTTAAAGGCAGTTGGCACGATAAATCCCCCAAGACGACTAGGATCAATACTCCTGGATAGAATTCCGCGACCCTGGGCAGGCGCTGCATAGCGGTTTCCCCGAGGAAGGTGCCCTTATAAGGGCCCTATCAAGCCACAACTTTACGTCCC